TATCTTGTTAAATTGGTGAAGATTAATGATTAAGTTCAAGTAGGGTAATTTATAGTAAAGGAAAATTTTGTTTTTGCAAATCTTTACATTTCAGAACATTTTATTTAACGTGTGTGTATATGGATGTATGTACGTATGTTTGGATATAATTTTTCGTCCACGATTTCGAGAGTATGGATCAACCGATTTAAATGATTCAAAAAGCAAATGCCGAAAATGGCAATTCACTTTTGGAGAGAACGAAGCGTCCTATTTGAATGATTTAAAAAACATTTTACTTGTATTGACAGAATGAAAAATTGATTAAATTTTAGATAAGACTGGTCCAGCGTTTTCGGAGATCCAATGAAAAAAGTTGAAAAAATGCTATTTGGTGGTCAAAAATGATCATTAGACATATGTGCATCATATTATCAGATATTTTATAGAGATTTTAATAATAAATACATACTTCGACGAGTTCCGTACCAAGATTTATAATGTTTAATCGTTAGAGACTGCGACGCAATTGAATTTTTTTTTCTTCAATATTTTCAAGAAAAACTTAACCTTTTCCACTCGCGAATTGAGAGATTTATATGCATTTGCCGCCGGAGCGGAGGCATCCGAGTGGAAAGGGTTGATGGTATAAAAAAAATTAAGTTACCGTACGGAAGTTCCAGCAATTTGCTATAAGGCTCGTTGACATTCGCCACTAGTTATTTTTATAACAAATACAGAATGAAATAAAATATTTGATGGAAAACCTTTGTACAAACAGAATATTTGTACAATTTTAAATAATATATATATTACTACTGCAGAGCTAACAAAATATAAATAATCAATTAATAAATTGCTGTAATAAACTGAAAGACAGTCACAATTCGGTATAAATTCAATGGAATCGACAGGTCGCTGAATCCACACAGCCGATTCGAAGCGGAAAATCATTCGCAATCATAAGCACAATGTTCAACTTCCCTATTTGCGCGTTATCAATCAATTCATGCATAAGATCACACATGAATGCATGAGATATGGTAACATATACGCAAAGAAAAAATACACCCTCCAAGCACACAAAGCGAGATACGACGAACATTAGAGAACGTTACGTAAGAACGTAAGCAGCCGCAGCCGCAAGGCGAGAGATCTCGGCCGGCGTAGACCCTACGAAACGCTTTTGAGTTCGAGTTCGAGTCCGAGCAGCGACCACTTGTTGTGTCGAATTGTCCCCTCGCCTCGTGAGCAGATTTGCCGACTCGCACCGAACGCAGCCGAGGCCCGAGCGCGATGCTTGCGAATTCCCGGCCCGACAGGGGCCCCCGTCTCATCGCGATGCACGCTCCGCGATCCGGAGCCCCGAGGGATATGACACAGAACGTGTCACAATTATATGTCAAATTTCTATTCACTTTTAGGCTATGTCGATTACAAATAACACAACATAAAATAAAGGGGCTCCAAATCATGCATCAATAAGCCTACGTGAATTTTTTGCCGAGACACTTGTAGGGAAACCTATATTTATCGTAACTTCAAAACACTTCAGAAAGGCCGGGCGTTGCGACTTACTGTCAAACTTCCAAACACCGCGAGTCTAACTCATAGTAGGGGCGCGATTTTCCATGCACGACACAAGGGAAAACAGTGATTTGGGGAAAACTAGCGTGAAAATTGTGTGAAAGCACTTACCGCACCGCACGCCACCTATATTAACTGCGTCGCCTGAAAGCACAACTCATTTCCCGACTAGCGAACCGTGTTATTTTGACTCAATTCGTGGTTGTATTCATTTACTAAAGCACTTTACACTATTTTACTACTTGCTAAAAAGGTTGATACACTAAAATTCAACAATTGTTCGGTCATTTGCGACCCCTTCGTACATTAATTAAAAAAAAATAGAATAGACATATCACTATGCGAGTCTGTATCGCTTACAAGTAATTTCTTCTTATTTTATTCTGTCGCTCTACCGTTCTATGAACGACTGGCCTGAAATATGCCAACGATAACAAAATGGCGTTCGCCAAGATTCATTCCCTTCGCAATTTGACATTTAATTTAACAACATTAGTGGCGAAATATCAACAAAACGACATGAACATAATAAAACTGATGCCTGCAGTCGTTCGATCGGTAATTTTTAATACACTATTACGTTTTTTTAAATTTATTATATTCTGTATTTGCACATTTGGGGTTATGTTATGAAATTCCGATTTTTAGATTCCATGTCGTAACTCGAGTTTTAGAAGTTCTAAACCAGTCGAAGAAGTTAGTAATTTACCTGAATATGAAATTATTCCAAATCCTCCAGAATGGAAATTTGTAGAGCAACTGTTACCCCTAAAGGCAGTGCCAAATCCTATTATGAAAGAATCTTACCCCTCAGGGTGGAAACCTCAAGATCCATCGTGTGTAAATAATCCGTACTATATTGCAAGAACTAGAAATCATATGCTACCAGTATATTTAAAATTATCGCACAGAAATTTGAGAAAACTGACTCAAGTAAAGAGAATTCAAGGTGATATTTGGAAATTAGCTTCAGAGTTGAAAGAATATACGGAACAAAAAATGAAACGAAAGGTAGCAACACAAGTGAATGAATTAGCAGGTCAAATATTATTAAAAGGTGATTATGTAGCTTATGTCGAAGAGTATTTATTAAATAAAGGTTTTTAATTTTGCTATAAAATTTATTGATTGTACATATAGGTTGAATAAAATTTGTCATAAAATCAAATTCACATAATTTTAATTTATACAATTAGATGGTCATTCTTGTAAATATACAATTTAGCATACATTAATATATTTATTCATAATATAGATTTATATATAAATATAAATTATATAAACCCTTCTTGAACAAAATAGCTACAATATTTGTGATCTTTTACAATTTACAATACTTTTACAATTAAAACTGGGCTCTATTTTTTGTAAATTATATAGTTAACATTTTTTTTGTATTCTTTGCATAATGGTTACAACAAACAGAATTTAAATTATTAAAATCGATTTCAACTTAACTAAAATCACAAAAACCCATTTATTATGGTTTCAAGCAATCAAACATATAATCCTCAAAATTTATAGAATTATACAGTTTTTAAGAAAATTCACTAAACATACTTATATAATTTATCATAGACATGGTTCAAAACACTAAACCTCATACATTCACAGAAAATGTTCACATTTTATATATGTGGTGTCAAGTAGGAACTGTGCGTTTTAATGCTTTCCGAATGACAGTCCAGTCTTCGAGAATATCTTGTTCAGAAAGCATATATACAATGTAAGGTCCAGAAACAGTAACCGCTTTACGCCGACCTGGACCTCGAACTTTACTTGACCGTGACCCTGTATTCCAATCTGCCCATGAAATATCCACATTATGACGATCTTCCTCTAAGCGTCTGATTTTATCTAGCAGTTCTTCATGTATGAAATCAACAGCAAGGGATTTTTCACTCTAACAAAAAGAAAGCAGTTTTAGAAGTTAGAATCATGAAAAAATAAGTACAGTATTTATATAAATGATTAAAAATGCAAAACAATTGCTCAGTATTATAATAATGAAATATGAAATAGAATATCATTATATTAATTTAATTTCTAATAATGAGTATATGATAGAAAATTAATTACAATTTCAATATTTCATATATTAATATAATATAATTATATTTATTACTTCAAAATTTTGCCTAGCTGCCTGTTCCTCAGCAGCATATTTATGTTGGATATTTTTTAATCTAAATTGCTTCAATGTCCCAGCGACCTCATGCCTGATTCTCATATTTTCTTGCAGCCTTTGCAAAGGAACAAGATATTCTCTTGACCTCCCATTTTTTACTTCCAACAATTGCCACTCTACATGACTTATACGTTCTTTGTAAAGCTGCTCACGTATCGCTAAGAATTGTTGCTCTAAATCAGCTGTAATAATAAAATAGATTTTCATAAGATACTATACGAAATTGATTCAAAATATTTTGAAATTCTTTTCTGTATGTATGTATAAATGTAATTAAATAATTAAAACATTCGACTTTGAAAAATTATTATTAATTTAAATATTTTTTTTAAAATGGCTTATATTATTTTTTTTTTAAAGTCTGGAAGTTTCCTTCTAATTAATAAGCTTAGATATAAGAAATCTATACATAATATTGATGATAATATAAAATCCAATTTGAAAGCTTTTTGAAATCTACATGACCACCGTCTTTAGCTTAGCATTTTGTAAATGATGAAAAGACATCATTTTTTGGATAAAGCTACAAATTCAAATAACATATATAACTATGAAATTAAAGTTTATACATATTAAAATAATCTATTTAATTTTTTCTTGCATTTGCAGTACATTGCAAACACAGTATACAGTATTACAGTATATTCCAAATTTAACTTAAAACGTAAAGATATTACAACGAGCTAATGTCTTGTTTTTAGAAGATGTAGTTTTAGATGGCTTGTTAAATAATTTAATATTGTTACAAAATGTATAAGTATGTATAAATCTAAGGAAGATCTGTTCAAAAGAAACCAAACTTACTCTAAAAAAGTAATCTCTAATGTTTTTTTGTCTTGAGAAAAAGAAGAAACAGTTATTGTTTAAAATGAAAAAATCAAGTAAAGTAAAATTAAAGTGAAAATAGGGCTCTAAGATGTATATTTTACATTTTCTTATATTAGGCGCCAAGGCACGCCATCAATCAGCTGTTGACAGCTTAGGTTATGTTTGTTTGTGTACCTAATATTTCCAAGCATTCTTTTCTTCTTCGATCGCATTCAACCTCATCCATTTCAGAAGAGTCATCTGATTCCAATTCATCAGCTTCTTCGGCACTGGAGTCCCTCTCGGGGGCCCTACTCGAGTTTGAATGGTCGCTTTCGCCCCCTGACATATCGTCAGCATCGCTTTCTGCTCCTTTCACCGAAGGCATTTTGAATTTATAATTAGGAAATAATTTATTTATACGCACAAAATCACTCTAAACAAATAACCGATTGTTTTATCCCGGGCCGACACAATTTGCGTAAAAATTAGGTGACAGCCAAATACACATAACCAAACAGAGCTTGTTTGATTGATTTGTTGACGTCCTGGCGGCGATAGTGCGAACTATGAGATGTCAGTTTTGCGAACTAGGCTTGTAACTTTTTCAAAATGGAGTCATTTTCCGTATTATTTTTATTTATTATTATTATTTTATTTATTTATTTGTCTTATTTATGAATGATTTATTTAGTAACATAATATTGGAGGGGTGCATGGCATCGTGCCTTAAGGCAAATTGCTGGAACTTCCCGTACCGTAATTAAAAATCTTGGTACGGAACCCAAAAATATTTACACAAAATGTCTACACATTATTAAAATCTCTATAAAATATCTGATAATTTGATGGGCATATGTTTAATTATCATTTTTGGCCGCCAAAAGGCATTTTTTTAACTTATTTTTATTGAGAGTCCATAACCGCTGGACCTGCCTCCCCAAAAATTAAATCAGTCTTTTAGCTTGTCAATACAAGTGAAATGTTTTTTGAATTAAAAAAATCGGCATTTTTGGCACTTTTTGCCTTGTATCTTCGGAACGGCTAGACCTGCCTTCGCCAAAAACTAATCAGCACGTCTCCTTATCAATACAAATCGAATGTTTTTTGAATTATTCAAATCGGTTGATCCGTGTTCCCGAAATCGTCGACGAAAATTTTGTATCCACACACACACACATATATACATGGTCTGTTCAAAAAGTACCCGGAATTACTAATAATTAAATTTCGCGGGTCTGGAGTGTCTGATTGTCAAAATTTTTATTGTGTTGGTATACATGCCCCTAAAGTATGATGAAATTTTCAGCTATATTCACTGTTTACTTTGTCTGTGGTAGTCGCTAAGGTTCGACGTGTTTTTCTGAGCTCGGCGATTTTTACAATGGAAGAATTGAAAAAGTCAAAGAATTTGTATTAAATTTTGCGTAAAAAATGAAATAAAGTGTTGCAAAGTGCAAAAATTCACCAGATATGGCTCCGTGTGACTTTTTCCTATTCCCAAAGTTGAAGAGACCCATGAAAGGACGGCGGTTTTCCTCGATTGAAGAAAATCGCCGAGAGTGCTCAAGGACATATCAAGAAGTGAATATCAAGGGTGCTTCGAAAATTGGAAAAAACGCTGGCATAAGTGTATTATATCTGGGGGGGACTACTTTGAAGGGGACCACATTAATGTAGACGAATAAATAAATATTTTTTTGAAAAAAACGAAAATTACGAAAACTTTTTGAACAGACCTCGTACATCTATTTTTTCTAAGGCATGCCAAAATGTTCAAAAACTTTGAAACGTAAAGATATATAAAAATTTCCGTTTTCGATTTTTTTGCGATTACTCTAATTTGCCCTACGGGAAGTTAATAAGATAAAAAAGTAAAAAACACGTGTATATCAATCGAATTAAATTTACGAATTTTGTTTGGCCAATTTCTCTATAGCACTTGCTAAACTTTTCTATTTTGAATAAAATCTTTTAAAATGATAATAGATAGTTGTTTCAATATTATATTATTAAAAATAAAACATTTAAATTACAATAATTCTCAGGCTACTTAATGCTGAGATGATAATACAGTACATTCATATAAAGTGACTTTTATGAAATCTGCATATGAATTCTTAAGCGACTTAAAACTAATATAATATTATTGTACAAAGAGTAAATAAAATTTATTTATTAAAATACTACTTATTTATAAGTTTTTGTACTTCTTTTTCTACCAAATTGTTAGTCATTTCAGCAAGTAAATTTTGTAAAATTTATAAGAAACTCAAAGGCGAATTCTTATAACACAAATCATTTCAAATTTCTCAAAATTTTGAAAATAATATGTACCATTAGTTTATACTACTTCTCAGAGATTTGATTAAACCAAATTTTCGGGGTTTCCTGTCATGCAAAATCGTCAAAACGCGCCCCCTGCGAGTTTGAGGTGCTCCACCATTGTATGTACTACAATAAAATAATTTATTTTAAGTCTTGTAAAACTGTTTTGGTATAAGCATATAAAAATAAAATTTTATAAAATAATTAGATCGATATCATTTGCAAACAATATCAAGTCTTGATCAGATCATTATATTGTTAAGGCTAACGCTAAATTGCTATTAATTAATTAATCAATTAAATTTGCTCACAATTCTGCAAATATATTGAGCATTTGCAAACACTTATACAATAATTACTTTGTAAAAAAGCTATTTGAAAAAATCCATATTTTTGCGATTCGATCACATCGAAAAATTTACATTTTTTGTGGTAAAATAAAGCAAGTTTAAAGTCGGCATAAATTGACAAGTCTTTAGTTGATAAAATCGTAATTACTGTAAAAAAATCTGAATCAAATTTGCACAAATTGATATTTGTGCAAATATATTTTACTGATCATTTCCTCTTACGGTTAGAATATCTTTAGTTGCTATTTATCTTTGTGAATGCAATGAACTTATTGTATAAACTGCATTTATAATTTAATATAATAAATCTAGATCTAACCAGGAGCAATAATTGTATAATATTTGCATTTCAGCTATTTTAATAGTAGTTAAAATTTATTTTTTAAATAATGTTCATTAATTTATCTGAAAATTTATTGCCTATTTTATCCAAAGCGTTCTTGCAAATAAACACAATTATTGCCACTATATGCTATTATATGCCACAAATTTCATAAGGCCACAAAATATATGTTACATTTATAAAGCGAATGGATTTCAGCTGTATATATGAGTTCAAATTCCTCTTTCAGATCAGTTTACAAATGAATTAAACTCTTACTAATGCTAATGCATTTAAAAAAAATTATATACAAAAATGCGCAGATCAACTACTTCGAAAGTTCGCATAATCCATTGCAAGTAATATAGTTAATATTCATATTAAGATCTTGTACTACATGTGCACATCACTCCTGGTATTGTCTCTTGTAGATCTGGACGCATGTTTTACTGGACTAGTCATATCTCCGTACTGATTTTCGATCACAAAAGCATTATCCTTCGATCCAGTCCAAGACCTTGCGATTTGAGGATTTGCCAAAACAGCGTTGTTGTTGTCACTTCTTGCGCTTACTGCAATATTTATAGGGGTATTTTCATCCTGGAAATAATATTTTGTCTAACTACTGAAATTTGGCATCAAAAACATTTTTTATGTTAATATAGAACACTGATTCCCAAACTGGTCCATATGGACCTCGAAGGGTCCATGACCACCTCTAAGGGGCCCCCACGCGAACGAAAAAGAATTACGGAGATCCACAACAAACCTCGTTTTTATCTATTTTATTATTATTCTGAAGTCAATTAATAAATATATAATAAACTTCAAATGTTTAATACTAAACGTTAGTACAAATACACATTTATAAAAAATAATCGATATCGGCTAAATAGGGGGTCCATGGCGAAGTCTAAGGGGTCCACGATACAAACAAGTTTGAGAACCTGATATAGAGTATATTTTTACAAAAAAAACTATCCACTCCTAGTCTTCTAAATAATTCAATTAATATAAAATTCGTATATTATTAGTTATGAAGATTTATAGAGTAAGGCCGCCTAAGTCATACTCCCCGGCTATATTTTGTGTGATAATTATAAATTATATCATCTGCTACCGTTAAATAAAACTAACTAGTTGAATAACTTAAAAAGGACAAAGAAAATGAAATTAATAACAATTATTTATAAATAAAGTACCTGTTTCGATACTGGATTTCTGTAAATAAAACGCGCCCAAACAGCTAAAAGCAGCATTTCACAGAGAACCAACGAATTTTGAATCACTGAAAAATAATAATAAATAATATTAATAAGAATGAAAAATATTATGCGAGAAATTAATACTTAACATAGTTAGTAAATAATTCTGACATTTAATAAATAATATTTGCAATAATGTATATTAAAAAATCAGCTAATATCAAACAATACGTTCACTCATATCGACATATAGTTTATATTATTTATTTGAGTTTGGCGAATATTACCATAAACTAGTGGTGCATGGCATCGTACCTTAAGGCAATTTGCTTAACTTACCACAATTAATAACACAAAAATACACAAAAAATTAATAATTTTTGATCAATAATTGATGACAATTGTTTCCATGAATTGTTTGACCACTGGCTGCCTATCTAAAAAAAAAAAAAAAAACGAGCCCACCCATAAAAAATTTGGTTCCGACGCCACTGTAACTACTATATATTTATTCGTTTATATAATATATACAGTGACGATCTTATCACTCAAAACACTTGAAAATGTTTATATTTAATTAAAATTTATATTTCAAGTAAAAAGAAGAGTACAACTTTGTATATTTTTGAAAATTTTGGAAAAAAAAATCTGAAGATTTTGAATAATGAACTTTAAAAATAAAAAATCTTGGTACGGAACCCAAAAAAGTTATAATAAAATTTGTTTTTGTTATTAAAATATCTATAAAATATCTGATTATTTAATGTGAATATGTCTAATGATCATTTTGGACCGCCAAATATCCATCTCCAAACCACTAGACCTGCCTACCCAAAAATTTAACCAATTCTTCATTTCGTCAATACAAATAAAATATTTTTTGAAAAATTGTATCCAAACATACATACATACACACACATACATCCATTTATTCTAAGGTATGCCAAAATGTTGAAACACAAATTTTAATTTTCGATTTTTTTTGTGATTACTATAACTTATCCTAACTATAACTAATTTCTTGCCAGTTAAAATTTTGTTTAAACAATATTATTATAATACAACTTATTTATATATTTGTATATAAGTTACGTGGAAGATGGAAAAATGAAAATCCTATAAAATTAAAAATAATTCCTATTATTAAATATATAGTTTAGTTTTCTCGGCCACCGACATGTGTTTAGGTGGGACTCATATATGCGTTTCTTCACTCTAATAACTGCCTTCGCCAACTGCATATAGAGTTCTTCGGCCAATTTGATGATTTACGTAAAACGCATATATGCGACGCCCGTTCTCAAAGGGTTAATATGTGA